CATTATGCTCATACCTGCTAGATTCGCTAGAACAATTAGCATCAAGTCCAAGTCGCGCCAATTCCCGGGGACCCAGCGTGTGTCGAGAAGAACTGCGCTCTGCCAGGCTTTCAGCAGCTGATTTTGCAGAAGTAGTTTGGCAGGTTTTTCTTTCAAAGTGTCTCTGGGTGGACCCGAATCGCTAGTCTTTCAGTTAACAACTGAACAAGGAAGTAAACCACTCACACGGCCCAGGGACTTTTTACTAGATTTACTCCTTTAAAATGTAATATTTATTTATTTTAGAATTCTAAAAGTTCTGGGCAATGTCAGCCGTTGGAACTTGCCAGTACCTCTATGGGAGTACCATGAGGCTTCTTGCTTCTAGAAAGATTTGCAACCTCAGAAACCAGATGGAAAAGTTTTACTCTGCTAGGAGAGTCGCTACAAGTTGGAATTAACTTGGAGGCAGTGGGTTTGATTTCATTATATACACACAGTATGGTATGCACAGTGAAATGTCGGTCTTTCTCTCCTGTCTGTCACCTGTTTATCATATCTATTCCTCTGGTGGAGTAGTGGTTAGGAGCTGGGCAGTGATCCACATGGTCAGCAGTTTAAAACCACCAGCACCTCCTGGGGAGAAAGATGGGCTTTCTACGCCTGCCCATCGGGGATTGATCTGAGTCAGCATTGACTCGATGGTATGAGTTTGAGTGTTACACACACACACACACACACACACACACACACTGGTTTTTCTGCTGCTGAAATGGAAGTTACTGGCACTTTTGGAGTGTGTGTTAGTCTGGGTACTGTAGAGAAACAAATCCACAGAAACTCATGTGTAAGAGAGAGTTTTATATAAAGGGTAAGTGCACATCAAGAAAACATCCCAACCCAGTGCTGTCCAAGCCCAAAAGTACAACATTAACCCATTAACCCATATGTCCAGCACCAATCCACAAAGTCCTGCTCCATCTCACATAACACATGCAATGATGCTGACTGTAGGAGAAAAGCTGAGTCAGTGAGTGTGTAAACATCTCAGCACTGGCAGAGTTCTCCAGCACCCAGGGCTGCATCGGGGTAGGTCCATGTGGCTTCTCCTCAGGGATGTCTTACAGGAAGTGAGCCTTGCCAGCTGAAGCAGGGAACTGGCTAAGGCAGCTGCACCCTGGTCCATCCATCAGAAAGCAAGAGACCCGAGAACTAGAAAGGCGAGGCTCACTGAGCCATTTATCCCTCCACCCTTCAATTAACCCCACATGTGTTTGTCAGCCAGGTTGGCACAATGAACTAACTACCTCAGGGTGTGGCCTGGGTTAGGTTCCTCTCCTGTCTGTTCATTCTGATCACTGGGTCTTAAGTTCTTGTTTATGCCTAGCACTGAGGCCAGCGCAGGCACCACCAAACCAAACCAAACACCAAACTCACTGCTCTTGAGTTGATTCTGTTTGTTGCATGGGTAAATATTATCAATGACAAACATTTACTAAGTGTATACTTTAAATGCAAAACAAGACATTTCACTAAGATGAAGATGTATTGCAGCAGATGCTGTCTGCGTCCCATCCAGTGTCCCCTTGTTCTTGTTCAGCACACACAGGACGATTTCTGAACGCCTTTCTTGGCTTGGGGGCGTTCTCTGACCACCTGAACCTGAAATGCAAAGGCACCAAAGACCCCCCCACACACACCACCCCCAGGAGCCCTAACCCAATGACTGCTGGGAGTTGGTGTAGAAGTACCTAGCACCCTTCCCTCCAGGGTGGGTAACACTTTGGGCTGCTAACTGTCAGGTCAGCAGTTTGAAACCACCAGCTGCTGGGTGGGATGAAGATGGGAATTTCTACTTCTGGAAAGAGAGTCTCAGAAACCCACGGAGAAGTTCTACCTTGCCCAATAGGGTGGCTGTGAGTCAGAATTGGCTCCAAGGCAGTGGTAGTAAGTTTGGTTTGGTTTTACCTCCAGGGTAGGGTAGCCCTGGGGCATGTATCTTACAGTGCTTCCAAGACTTGAATGCAAAATGATGCTCCAGAGACGAGCCAGTCAGGGCGCGATGTAGCAATGATGAAAAATACAACTTTCCTCTAGTTCCTTAATGCTTCTTCCCGCCCCGCCCCCTACTATCATGATCCCAATTCTACCTTACAGATCTGGCTAGACCAGAGGATGTACACTGGTACAGATAGGAACTGGAAACACAGGGAATCTAGGGCAGATGATCCCTTCAGGACCAGTGGTGTGAGTGGCGATACTGGGAGCGTAGAGGGAGAGTGGGTTGGAAAGGGGGAACCAATTATAAGGATCTACATGTGACCTCTTCCCTGGGGGATGGGTAATAGAAAAGTGGGTGAAGGGAGACGTTGGACAGGGCAAGATATGACAAAATAATAATTAATAAATTATCCAGGGTTCATGAGGGAGTGGGTAGCAGGGAGGGAGGGGGAAAATGAGGACCTGATGCCAGGGGCTTAAGTGGAGAGGAAATGTTTTGAGAATGATGAGGGCAATGAATGTACAAATGTGCTTTACACAATTGATGTATGTATAGATTGTGAAAAGAGTTGTATGAGCCCCTAATAAAACGATGAAAGAAAACAATAAAACTCTTAAAAAAATAAACAAAAATGAGGCTCCATTGACTTGCAGTGGTACTCTCGAGGTGGACAGTACTTTGATTGTCCAGGCTTGGGCATCTACCCACCTGGGAGCTGGATGGAATAAGTTCCATAAAAGTTTACCAGAATAAAGAAAATCCTAGGCCACTTCCCGAAAGCAGTGTGATTAGCTGTGGAGAGTCAAAAACAGCTCTGGTCCATTACGGACAGAGGACTGAGACTCGGTGAAGAAGGAAAATAATATTTTTATTGAGATTTGTAGTCGGTCTGAATTATTTATCAGACTTTCTAAGGAAAATAATATTTCTCTATTTTAAACTTTTCTAGAGAGCCTAAAATGAAAGATACCTCTTCTTCTTCTTCTCTCTGTCTCTCTCTCTCTCTCTTTAGCATGATGGATATTTTCTTTTGGTTGGAAAATGATAACACTGACCCCTCATGAGGTCGTAGGGCAAGCGTTTGGCTTTTATAAACATGTTGAAATAATATTCACTTCTGAAAATATATCTGAATTGACAGGATTTTTCAAAAATAATATCTGAAGACATTTTCATAAAAGGGCAAATATTGGGAGCAGCTGGCCCAGAAAGTTGGAGATGTCAGCAGTTTGAGACACTTGAAGCTGCACACATTGAAAGATCGGCAAGGCCTGGGCTACTTCCTGTTCCTAACGCTTTCTCTTCTTGCCCTCGGCAAATCCCTCAAAGCTTAAGGATGGCCCTTCTCCCTCTTTCACTCACGTTTCCACCTTCCCTTGACCTAGGAACTTTTCTCACCAATACAGTATTTTCAAATGTAAGAATAATAATGTGCCCCATCTTCCAATTATAGTTCAAATTAGCTAAGGAATGCTTGGCTGAAGGGCATAGAGGGTTAGTTCGATCTTACCAAAAGACTGATTATTTACTGTGCTTTCTCTTAAATCAAGGTGCCTAATGGAGGCCTAAGGGCAGCGGTAGTTCAGTGATATAATTCTCACCTTTCATGTGCTCAAAAGGGAGAGGCAGAGGCGTCTACTCCCATTGAGTGACAGTCTCAGAAACCCACATCGGGCAGTTCTACCCTGCCCTACAGGGTTGCTATGAGTCAGCCTGGACTCGATGGCAATGAGATGAGATGGGCTCTAGGATTCCTGGTCAAGAACTTCGTGCGGAAACCCTCATCTGTCAGGGGAGGCTTGCCTGCTGTGATGAGGTTAAACAGACTTCGCCAGAGCTTCCCAACTAAGACGGAGTAGGAAGAAAGGCCTGGCAATCTTTCAAATATCAGGCAATAAAAACCCTGCGGCTCCCAATGGTCCTGGGGGAAACCAGTCCTGGGAAGGTACAGAAGCAGAGAGTGGTTTGTTCCACTGTTCATGGAGTTGTTTATGGCTGGAGGCTACGATGATTGGGGACAAACTTAGTGACAGCGGAAACCCCAGGACCCCAGGCTGTCCTTTGAGCATGTGTTGTTCTCTTGAATATGAAAAACTGGAAAGGTCTTTCCTTTTTTCTTTAAAGAATCCAGATGGAGGGGGTGGGTGGTGGGTGGACATCACTTACCCGTTCACCTGGTTTTTCCTGACAATAGATGGCAAATAGCACGAGTGTGGGAATGTTGGTTAGGAAACCGGACAATTGGCTGGGTGGCACTTTTTCCCCTTTGCAGAACAGTCTCCCTGTGCAGCCATGTTCATGACTGTATCTGCAGAGCTTAGGCCTCCTCTCCGAATCCTTGGGGAGTTGGGGGAATGGTTAGGAATTCAAAAGAAAGGCTAACTCATTCCCTCAAACTTGATGTAACATAAGAACTAAAACTGTAACAGAAAGCAAGGAGAATTGGAAGGAACACTTTACTGAGTGAAGAAAACGAAAGAAAATTTCTACCAGGCTCAGTATAAACAAAATGGTACTATTTGGCATGTGATTTTCAATTGTATTAGGAGATAGGAAACCTTGTCCTTTTCTTCCTGTATTGGCTTGGATGCCTGTGTCCCAAAGGTGGTTGACTGGGGCACCACGAGGCCTGCTTAGCATCAGTAACATTAATGTACAGGGGAGTAAACAAGGTAGCCTTTTATTGCTGGGATGCAATTCCAGCTTGACATCTGTTCCAGATTCACCTGCAGCTGGTGTTTACCTCCTTAGAGCAGCTGGTGGCGTGGAAATACACAGGATGTGGATGGGATAGAAGGAGCTAAGAGAGCAAACCCTCTCCATCACCAGTTTCAGCCCACCTTAGTTACATTGCTGTTGTTGTTGGGTGCCGCTGGGTTGGTTCCACACAGGGCGACCCTGTGCCACTGAACAGAACACTGCCCAATCCCGTCCCATTCTCACAGATGGTCTGCTTGAGCCTATTGTTGCCGCCACTCTGTCAATCCAGCCCACTGAGGGTTTTCTTCTATTTTTGCAGGTCTCAGATGACTACAATCTTCAGCCAGGTTGTGAGAACCACTACCTAAGACCAAGTAAGACTCTTCAGAGGCTTCGCATAAGCAAGGATGGCGAGACTTCGTATTGCATGCTTTCCCCAGACTGTCTGGAGCGGCCGGTCCCTGGAGAAGGCCGTCATCTTGGTGGAACAGAGAGGCAGTGAAAAAGGGAGGTCGTCTACGAGATGGATTGACGCGTGGCTGCAACAAAGCGCTCAGGCGCAGGAAAAAGATGGTAAGGACTGTGCAGTGTCTTGTTATGTTGTGCATAGGGTCACTGTAGGTTGGAACCAACTTGATGGTACCTAATAATCTAAGACCTAGACTATCCTATGATTTTGTCTCACTGTTGGTGGAAATTATGCAAAAATGGAAAGTCAATATAGAAAGAACGGAAGAACCCCAGAAAAGACCGGGAGAGGCGGATTTTGTTTTCCCAGACTTGACCACCATGTAGAGGACTTATACTTTCATGGAAGCATTGGGAATAAGGAATCTTGGAATTTGGGCAAAATGTAAATTGCAAGGGACCTTCGCTCCTTTTCAGCATTCGGCAAGAACGTGTATGTAAGGCATGAGTTTAGTCTCCATTCTCATATCTACAGTGAGGGCACTCGGTTACCACCTTCTTTGGAAATGCCTTTATATTATCAGTTTAATACCTACCTCCATTATAAATGATACCATGCTTCCAGGTCTTCCCCCTTAAAGCAATTCTAAATAAATCCAATTCATCTATATAACAACCTTTTACACAAAGGCAGCTACCTCCCCCAAATGCACACATGCTGCATTCCAGTTACTGTTAATAGTTATAAATTAATCTGTGGCTATAAAAACCTTTCATAGCTATTGGGCTATCAGTCCTCACAACATCCCTGAAAAGTTGGCATTGTTTGGTCATTTCCATCCTATATAATGATCAAGGTTAGATTCAGAGATGTTAATCCTTGGCCAAGGTGACGCCAATAAATACCTGAGCCCAGGTCTTCTGATTTGAAATGTATGCCCTTCTCACAGTATTTTTTTTATGAAAAGGCACTTTTGTTAATGCAGCTGAAGATGCATTAATAGTAGTTTTTGCTTTGTTCTCTTCACCCCTTATAATAGCTTTATTGAGCTATAATTGGTGTCCCATAAAATTCACCCCGTTAAAATGTACAGATTGGTGATTTTTAATGTACTCACAGACAGTTGTGCACCCATCACAACCATCTCATTTTAGAGTGTCTTTTGTCCTTTCATCCATTAGCAGTCATTCCCCATTACTCCTCCATCTGGTCCCTGGAAAAATCTGGTATATCCATACAATGGAATATAGTTGTGCAATAAAAAGCATGAAGTGTTGAAACACGCTGTCTACAGCACGAACGCACCTCAAAAACATTCTACTAAGTGGAGGAAGCGGCCACAGAAGTCCACATACTGTATGACTTTTATTTATATGAAAAATGCCCAGAGTCGTCAAATCTACCGAGTCCTTAGCTGGGTCAGCAGTCCCGGGAGCTGACTGATGTGTTCGTCCTAGTGACAGTAGCAAGTCCGCAGGCAAAGGAAGTTTGAGAATAGTTGGATCCCATAACGTGAAAGAAAAAAAAAAAGGCGAGCACCACCTCCGCACGCACACCATCTCATCAACCATCACGCCGATACAATCTCATTTTTAAATTTCAGGGGCTGTGACTGATTCGTGGCTCAGGTTAGATTGTCTGTTAACTAAAGGGGAAAGTTCAATGTGTTACTTCGTTGTTAATAATTATGAGCCAAAGTTCTCCTCAAACTTGAGCCTAGCCTCCTCACTAACATTCAGGGAAAATGGCTGTTTATAAAGGGGTGGATTTCTCAGATGGCCGGAATAGTCTGTTCTATGAATTTGAGTCAGAGGGGATTCAACTTGAACGTATTAGTTGATTGCTCATCAAGGGTTTGTCTTGCTTAGATCCACAATCAAGGCTCATGGAGGCAGCAGTAGAGAAATGAAACCACACATTCCGGTGGGTAAAACTGCTGCCCCAGACTTCTTGAAAGTGTTGGAAAGCAAGTATTTTACCTTGAGGGCTCAGGTGCACCTGACACAAGCCACGATATTTTTAATCACTTCATATGCATGGGAAAGTTGGACATTGAATAAGGAAGACTGTAGAAAAATAGATGCATTTCAATTATGGTGCTGTATCATGCATGGAAAGAACTGGAGGAAATTATGCTAAGTGAAGTAAGCCAAGCACAAAAGGACAAGTACAACATGAGTCCACTGAGGTAAGCTTGAAAAGCAAAATGGGCATAGGGGAAAAGCTACTATATGCAGACATTTCTGGGGTGAGTTCCAGGTACTATGGCAGGGGCCAGACCAAATCCAGGGATACACATGGAAGCCAACTAAAAAGGAGTGGAAAAGAAAGGGGGAAAACAGACATGGGGAGATGGGGAACAGGCCACTAACCCACCCAAGGGGAGGGTGTTGTTTATGTCTCCACAGGAAAGGGAGAGAGGAACCAGACCTCAACTTGGTACACCAAGACATGAATGCAACAT